GAAGGATACTGCAAAATCTCCATACCCACACCATTCTAGGGGAAGGATACTGTAAAATCCCCATTCTCTCCCCACCCCACTTGCCTGCTTTCCTGCTCCGTTCTCCTGTGCAAGGCAACAAAAGAAGACCCAGCCAATCATCTGGGACTTGGGAGGCAGAGAATAGATGGGGGTGGGGCCAGGCAGAGGTGAAATTTTGAACTACTCAAAATTTCTGCTACCAGTTCTCCGAACTACTCAAAATTTCTGCTACTGGTTCTCCAGAACTGGGCAGATCCTGCTGAATACCACCTCTGCTCCCCTCCCCATTTCCCATAGCTTTACTGTACTTTTTGAAGAGCTCCAGAAGAGGCTGACCCACATGGGAGAGAAGCTAAAGTCTTTTATTCAAAAGCTTGTGAAACTGTAAGAATGTGAGATATAAGGAAAATAGCTTTCCCCATCTGAATAAAAGACCGGCTTCTCTGCCATGAGGGCCTGCAGGCTTAGTTTTGGCCCAGTCTGGCTGGCATTGAGCAACTTCCTGCTTGCTGCTAACTGGCTAGTTTGAGTAAACAGCTTCAGAGATTGGAGCATGGCAGCCAATCAACAAGGGGCTTGCAGTTCAGCCCGATGAGACAAAGGAAATAAGCTCCTTGTTGATTGGCTGATGCTACTGTCTCAATCCCTGAAGCTGTCCTGAAGCAGAAGGCTTTTTGTATTACCAGTGGCCTAAAGGCCACATGGCCCCAGCCGAAGTCTTTTACTCAGAAACTGGTGAGAATGTTTTCCTTAGATTTCACATTCTTACAGCTTCACCATCATCTAAATAAAACACTTTGGCTTCTCTGCCAGTGGGTCAGCCTCTTCTGGAGCTCTGGAGATCTTCAAAAAGTAAGTAATCCATGGGAAATGGGATAGGGAGGAATAAGTGGAATCCTGGAGTCCAGCAAAGCAGGCCCAGTCTGTGGGGACCCAGCATGGCAGGATGGGGGGAAGCAATTGTGAGGACCCCAGGGGAGCATGAGGTATCTCAGTGGATTGGGAGAGGCCTTGGATGGCCTGCTGTAGAACTAGGCCCCGCATGCTCTTCCCCACTCTGAGATACCTCCTGTGCAATTAATGACCTGCGCATTCGATTAACAAATGCATTGGGGAAAGCAGGGAGTGATCACATTCATTTAATGTGATTCAGTCAAATGAATCCTCAGGTTATGAATATAATTGGCAGGCTCTGTTACATTAATAACTCAAGGATTACCTGTATAATGAGAGTGAGGGAAGGTCTCAGGGAAGTCCTGCCTTAGCACTTGGCCACCACAAGTGCCTCCACACAACTCCTGTGCCCCCCACCATAGCCCTGTCCCCTGGGCATGCCCCACCCAGGCCCTCCAAGGTCAAACACAACCCTAATGCGGCCCTCAATGAAATAGAATTTGACATCCCTGGACTAAAGGTATTGACCAGTCATTGTTCCAGATCTCCACACAAGAACATACTCCAAATTTCTGCATGGTTATAATATATTTAATATATGCACATACTATCATTAAAGATCAGACCCATTAGATTTCACTTTTAAATGAATGATAATTTCTTGTTACATCCTTGCTTAGTTAGTTTTAACTATAGTTAGTAAAGAAGATAGTATTATCTATCACAGATTGATCCAAGCTTGTTTATTTAGTTACATTAACAAGGCCTTCTCTGATCTTGGATGCCGTAGGAAATTGACTATTTTGAAGTGGGAATGAATCTTTCTGATTGCTTTCTTATCAAATCAGAAAAAATGAAGGGAATTCATAAACATAGAGAGATAGCAGAACAAGTAGTTATCATCTAGGGACCAGAGTTGGGACTTGTAATTCAGCTGTTAAGCAAAGCAATTGCTAAGTGAAACTATGACTTTGCTTATGATCTTATTTCGTTTGCTGTGAAAGTTGTGAGTGCAAGGATAAAATTATTTTTAATCACCATTGTAACTGAAAGGTTGCTAAACAAAGTAGTCACTAAATAAGGAATACCTGTAAATTGTAGTTTTGCATTGCATTTCAGAACACTCGGTATACAGATTCATCAAACATGATCACTCCAGCACATCATCAGACTTCTGTAAAATAATGTAATATTAGTCTAGATGTAATGGATTAGATCCACAATTATTATACTTTGTCTATATATTTTGGTACAGCTAGAAGAGAAACTGAAATAATATTCCCAAAAGGAGGAATTTATCCTGTGGTATAACTTAATTTAACCAAATTTAATTAATTTAATTTAATTCCACCCACCCACCCACCTATTACATCTATAATGACTGAGTATTGTGGCAACTTAGTTTTTGCTTGGAGTATTGTGTTTACTAATAGCAATGGCAGATCTTGAAAATGAAGTCCAACATTTCAGAATAATACATCTGGTCTATTTTATGAGTCCAGGCCATTTGTTGTTGATATGGTATAATTTGTACATATATTTCATGATTTATTTCTGTACCATAGAATAGAACTCATTTAGTTTGATGTTGAATTTGCTTCATACCAACCTGCTTAGGCTCAAAGATTGCAACTTCTCTTGTCCATCCAACTTTTTTTTTAAATAAAATTTATTTAAGTTTCATATATTTAAAACATTTAAAAAGAAACAAACAAACATATAAACAAATCAAGACAATCAAGACAAAAAAGCCACAAAACAGACAGAAAATACTAGAAACACCAATCAAGCAGAACACAGCAAACTCCAAGACCAATAAACACAGACCAAGACTCCCAACCAATCAGGATGAAGAAAAAAACATTCTGGCACAGCAGTAGGCTAGCCCCAAATTTAAAACTGAAACAGCTGTGAAAGTCTGACTCACAGACAAACACAATACAGAAGCCTGATGATGGCAGATGAGATTCTGCCGAAACGTTGCTACAACTTTAAAAGCACAACTATAATGACGTGGGAAAATACCCGAACAAAGCTGAATACCAAATATATATATATATACATATATACATTTTGCAGCAGGTATTGAGCATTGGTTACATTTTTCTTTTCTTTTTTTCTTTTACCCCATAACATTGACATGATCTACCTTGTTACAATCCCTTCCTTGTTCTTTTAATGTTTTATTTTCACAGAATACTTTATGATTAAACACATGTCCCTCATAGTTTCATAACTTATTCAGTTGTTTTCTTTAACCATTAATACCAACAGTTCCAAACTTTGTAGTATTCACTATCTTTGTTGTTTTTTAGTAATTTGGTTAGGCTGTCCATCTCTGCACACTTGTGAATTTTTTTAATGACCATCTCCTCTGAAGGGACAATAGACAGTTTCCAAATTTGAGCGTAGCTTATTCTGGCTGCCGTTATAATGTGCAAGATTAAATATTGTTTTTTTTTTTCTATTTTTGAGTCTATCATACCCAGCAAAAAGGTTTCGGGTTCAAGTTTTACATCTTGTTTAGTTATATTTAGAATCCAATTTTTGATATTTTCCCAAAACTTCTGGCCATATGGACATGTCCACCACATATGAAAGTATGTTCCCTGGATGCAGTTACACTTCCAGCAGTTTGGGGGGACGTTCGGGAACATTTTAGCCACTCTTGCTCTTGTCCACCCAACTCTTATGTTCAAAGGACTTTGAATTTGGAGCTCTTGCATCCTGGAACTAACTGTTCACAACACGGGTTTCCCATTGATGTGGAACTAAATATTTTTCTGTGGTCAAAGGAATTTCACAGCTGTTATAAGCCCCACGCCCCTTACATCAACATGTCTGTTTTCTTTAATTGCAGGAATGCTTTATTCCATTTATAGCTATTAAGGAATTTGTTCTCATTTTCTAGGACATTTAGTGGAAACACTCATCCAGTTATGTTACACAAGTATATATGATTTAAACCTGGGAAATATTCAGGAATGTTAATTGCTGATAGTTATCCTCAATGAAATAGCATCAGGTTCTTGCACTGGAATTCATGAGATTTTGTTAAAATATTTCATAAATAGCCCAGGGTTTACATATTATAAAAGGCAACTGTTTTTTTGCATTGCAATGATGGAACATTAAGGGGAAAAATTTCCTTTTTTGAAAAATGCTAAAGAATGGCATTGTACAGTGTCTCAGGGTTGATCCATTCTTTAAAAAGTGCTTCTTCTTTATAAACTTTACATTTTACATTTTAAGATCTCCTTTTTTAGCCTGATCATGTATTATGGTTAAATTACATTGCATTTTTATATTTTTATATTAGCAAAAAATGGCATTTTCAGTAGATTTTCATTGAACTACATCTCACATTTTCCCCTTTCTTTGCATTATGTCCAATTCTCAGAGACTATCTGAACATGTCCCTGCAATTTTCTTAGGGAGATTTTCAGAAATGGTTTTCCATGATCTCCTAGAGCTGAGAGAAAGTGACTAGCCAAAAGCTACCCAAGGCAAGTTGCTTTGTGCCCAAGATAGGATTAGAGCTCACGCTCTCTTGGTTTCTAGCTTGATGCCTTAATTGTTACACCAAATTGGCTCTCATATACCTCAAACTACTTCCATATAGATTCTGTCTTAAGACTATGACAATAACCTTCAGCATGAAACTTTTTACTTCTCATTTTTTTGCTTGTAGTTGTCTTAGGGAGATATTCTTTTGCTCACTGTTTGACAATATCTGAATTGGGCCAATAAAGTATTACACTAGGTTGAACATTTCTTCTGGTCAATTGCCCTTCTTTGTGCAGTTTTAATATCCAGAGAGAAATGAAATAATTAGTAATTATTATACATAAAGCTGCATTCTATCAAATTAGATCTTTGGCTCATCTACCTTAGTATTTTCCATGGTGATGGACAACAATTTCTGGTATTGGAGAAAGCCCCCCCCACCCCCTGCCAGCATGGCCTGGAGATATTGGGACAGACCTCAGCCATTTTTTTTCATGGAGCTGAGTGCCCTTTTAAAAAGAGATTTTATCTAAATCTTTTTTCCACTCTACTATTATTATTTTTCTGACTTCTTATAGACTATTTTTGAAAGAAATTGTCAGTCAGATGACTGTGCGGCTGACCTGAAACTCCAGTGTAAACTCTTCCTATCTAGGTAAGTATCCCTTTTTTCAATTAAAATGGTTTGAATTGTGAGATATTGGGCTGGAAAAAGAAATTTCACAATTGTAAAGAAGATTTTAGATGTCTTGAGTGCAAACTCAAGTGCAAACATTGATCAGATCAAAAGTTACAGGCGAGTAAGCAAGAATGATCAGAGACAATAAATTCTTTAGAACTCTGGACAGATCCCAGCAAAGTTGTAAACTGTTCCAACATGAGTTGATTGATAATTGGATTCTTATTCCAACTCTTGTGGACTCCACTTCCTCCTAGCCAGAAGATCAAAATCCCCAAAGAGATCAATCTATTTGATAAAGAGATTTGTCAAGTAAGCCTTTTGGAAAGGATGATTCTTCCATATAATCTGGCTGAGGGGTCTGCAATTCCTAGCCCACCTGGTCATAGGATTTCAGGTTAAAATTCCTTAACTGACTTTGTAAAAGCCCAGTTGTGGAAGTTGCAGAAACCCTCAAAGAACATGGTGGGATTTGGTTATGGAAAAAGTTTAAACTGCTAATATTGATGTGTATTTCATTCTTATGTTTTTTGTTTTGTTTTATTCAGGAAGTCTGAATAACATTTATAATTTTGGCCCTGTTGAATTGGATCTGCTTGATTTTATTCTGTACTGCAGCCTTTCCCAGTCTGGTCATCTCAAGATGTATTGAATTGCAGTTTCCTTTATATTCTATCATAGGTGTTTGGCTGTGGGTTGGTCAGAAGGCCTCCAGGTTTGGGAGAAGCCATTTAGTTCCAAGCAATACCTGCTTCTCCAAACAAGCAAATGATTGAAGCTTTTTTTTTTCCAACATATTAGGGAACAGAAGGTAGCAAAGGTTCATTTTCCCATGTAAGTCCCCACATAAATTACCTGTCCAGGGATTTCAGGTCAGGAATTATAAGGAGAAAATTGCAACAGAATTAATTTTTTGATTTTAGCAGGCAGAGACTCAAATCTTGGACAGTTAAAAATTCATCATCATCATAATGTCTATCCATTGCAGAATGAAGTCTTCTTCTGCATGTTTCAACTGATATGGTCTTGAGCTTTCTTTTTCCAATTGGGCCTGCAATACTTGCTGATGTTGTAGATTCATCTTGTTTCAGGGCTCTTTGTGGACACTTTTTATCAAATGAGATACATCTTGTGATTGCCTTGGTCCATCTGCCATCAGTTCTTCTAGCTATGTGACCAACCCATTTTCATTTCAATTCTTTTATTCTTTTGATGATATTGTAAACTTTCATTTGTTCTCTAATCCATGTGTAGATCTTTCTATCTTGTCTTGTAATGCTGAGCATGTATCTTTCCATGGCTTTTTGCACCACTCATAGCTTTTGTATTGATTGTGAAGTTAGTCCCTTTATGTATTATATAATAGCAAAGCACAATAACCGTTTCCTTGAATTAATAAAACTGTTATGAGTACAAAACTCTGAAGAAAACTATGAAGATGGGAGAAGCCATCTATTGAGATAAAAGATATTATAATGGCCATGTTGACCATAAAGGAAGTTTCTAAGGTCACATTCAGTGGTGGGATTCAATTTTTTACTACCGGTTCTGTGGGTGTGGCTTGGTGGGCGTGGCAGGGGAAGGATACTGTAAAATCTTCAATCAAAGGTGGTATTTGCCAGTTCTCCGAACTAATCAAAATTTCCGCTACTGGTTCTTCAGAACTGGTCAGAACCTGCTGAATACCACCTCTGGTCACATTCCCTCTTTTTTGATAAGTGGCTTTGCTCTGAGATGAAATGCTGCTCTACCAGATTTATCTAGTTGAAAAAAACAGTCTGGTGCTGCTGTTTGTATGAACTCCTTAAATGTGTCATTCAGATATGATGTTAAGAGAATGGTTGATGTGAATGGTTGATGTATAAGACTATGTCTTTTTTTTACTTTATACTAGAACTGATCTATCTAAGGAGTCCAGATTTTCTTCTATCAGCATTTAGTGAGTCATTTGGGATATTTAGAATAAATTTATTTATTTATTTATTTATTTATTTATTTATTTATTTAATTTATATTGCTGCCTATTCGCCCATGGCGACTCAAGGAGACTTACAGAATGTAAAACCATATGTAAAATAAAAAACAATAAAAACTAACAAAAAGAATCAAATAAATTAATAAAGTACAACAGAACAAAATCTGGGAAAAAATAAATAAAAAATCACCCCCAACTCCCAGCCCCCTGATGATAGCAGATCACAGGAGCCATTTGATGGGCTCCGTCCTGCTCTGGGTTCCCCAGGCCCTCTGTCAGAACAGATCTTCAGTGCCTTCCAGAAGAATATTAGAGAGGGGGCCATTCTAATCTCTGGGGGAATGATGTTCCAGAGGGAGGGAGCCACCATGGAGAAGATCCTTCTGGGTCCCACCAGGTTATCTCGCTCAGGGATGGACCTACAGCATTCCCTGCCTCCCCGCTCTAATGGGTAGGGTAAATGTGACTGGCAAGAGATGTTCCCTCATATAAATTGGTCCCAAGCCATGAAGGGCTTTAAAGTGGCAACCAGCACCTTGAATTGCACCCTGAAGCAAATTGGCAACCAATGCAGCTCCCAGGGTCTGCACAAAACCATGCGGCCCACTGCATTTTGCACCAACTGGAGCTGTTTTTCAAGGGCAGCCCCACTTAGAGCGCATTGTAATAATCAAGACGGGAAGTGACTAGGGCATGAGTGACTGTGAGTAGGGACCGTTAGTCCAGGAAAGGGTGTAACTGGTGCACAACCCATAGTTGCACAAAGGCCCTCCTGGCCATGAACACCACCTGCTCTTCAAGCAGGAGTCGTTAGTCCAGGAAAACCCCTAGATTATGCACAGGGTCTTTAGTGCCAACTTATCCAAGACCAAAGGTGGCAAATCTCCCTGAGTCAATGAATCCCAAACCCAGAGCCACTCAGTCTTGCAAGGGCTTAGTTTCAACCCGTTGCTCCCCATCCAGCCCCAAACAGCCTCCAGGCATTGCGAGAGGCAGGACACAGCAACTCACCATGGGCCAAGACATACAGATGAGTATCATCAGCATATTGGCTATACCTCAGTCCATGGTGATGGATGATTTCACCCAGTGCTTCATATAAATGTTGAACAGGAGTGGAGAGAGTACCAAGCTCTGAAGAACCCTGTAAAGCAGTGGGCAAGGGCTGGATCTCTCCCCTCCTATCAAAACTGACTGAGAGCAGCTGCAGAGGAAGGAAGTGAACCAGGACAGCACAAAGCCTCCCATTCCCATCCCCCGAAGCTGCCCCAGGAGAATCCCATGCATGGTCAATGGTATCGAAAGCCGCTGAGAGGTCAAGTAGAGCAAGGATGGATGCACTACTCCCATCCCGCTTCCACCAGAGATCATCCAAAAGTTTTATATATATATATAACTCCTCCCTCTTCCAGCACCTTAAAGCCACAGGAAATGAAATTAATTTCGAAGGAATGAAAATTAATATCCAACACTGAACACTCCAGCAAGAGAATAATCAAGGAAGCCATCGAAATAGAGAAACACCCCCATAACATGAATAAACGGGATGATACTTCCCGCCTACCAGACATCTGGAAACTAGCCCTCACCAATAAATGAGTCCCAGCCACGAAAACCAACACCAGACCCAAAACAACATGGGACACCACCGCCAATCCCCCTTATCAGACCCAGGCCCAAACCCATCCTATAAACGAAGGACAACCACCGTCCAGAAACCAGACCACGGCTGCCTCACCAGCTGTCGCATCCCCCGACCCCAAAACCAAACAAACTGACACACGCCAAGAACACAGACCCAGACCCCAAACTCGAAGCCAAACCAAAACCCAGACTGCTACATCACAGCCACCCGCTAAGGATATCACATCAGAAAACTCAGGAAATTACACCACAAGAACTCAAGAAGTTGCAACACAGCAAACGACCCAGGAAATCACAGCACAAGACCTAGGATACCACAGCAATAAACTCACAAGGTCATCACACAACCCATTACCCAAACCGTTACAACACAGGAGGCTAATGGAAAAGAGATCAAAACAAGACCCAGGAGATCACAACGCAGGACCCAGGATACCACAACAAAAGAACTCGCAAGGCCATCACACAACCCATTACCCAAGCCATTAAAACACGGGAGCCTAATGGAAAAAAGATCACTACAAAACAAACGACCCAGGAGATTACAGCACAAGATCCAGGATATCTCCACAACAAAACTCACAAGGCCATCACACAGCCCATTATAAAAACATCAATTTCATCAACCAATCAAGAGGCAGCAGCGCAGCCAACCTGCCCAGCACACCAGCCCCCCCCCACCAGTATTTATAGAGAGAAGGCAGCTCCGATCACACACTGCTTGCACTGGCACGAAGCCAAAAGCACCAGCCTGAGGATGGCGAGTGGGACCTTGCCAAAACGTCGCCAAGATACTCTTAATCTTACACGGGAAAAGACCCGAACACACCAGCTTCTGTATATTGTTCATCTGTGAGTCAGGCTTTTACAGTGGTTTCAGATTTGAATTTGGGGCAGCCTATTGTTGTGCCAGAATGGTTTTTTCTTCATCCTGATTGGTTGAGAGTCTTGGTCTGTGTTTATTGGTCTTGGAGTTTGCTGTGTTCTGCTTGATTGGTGTTTCTAATATCTTCTGTCTGTTTTTTTGGCTCTTTTTGTATCTTGATTGGCTGGCAACATTGTGTTACTTTATTGGAGGCCTTTAGTGCAGCTTGGCTCTGGGTAAACGGACGGCTATCATTAGTTAGGAAGCTAGGTTTCATCTGGGTGCCTGGTTGGGGTGTGTTTGAGCTGGAGGTATCAGGGGGGATCTGTTTGTGCCCAGGTGTTTGCCTGGCTTGTGGTGTGGAGATTTTTTTGTTTGTGAGTGCAGGCTTCCAAATGATTGACAGTCTGGTGGAATCATCTCTTCTGTTCATGCTTTCTGGTCTTTTTTCAATCTCTATGGTTTCTCTGATGATTCTGTGATTAGGGTTTT